GAGAGACCCGTGACCTCATCTACACCAACTGCAAAGTCATCGGGAACGGCTCCTTTGGCATCGTCTTCCAGGCAAAGCTCGTCGACGAACCCAGCCCCAACGGCGACATCGCCATCAAGAAGGTCTTGCAGGACAAGAGGTTCAAGGTGCGCGCACCCACCCCATCCCCGCCATGGCCCTCGGCCCACGTCGTCTGATGCACATCCCCTCCCCCGTCTAGAACCGAGAATTGCAGATCATGAGACTCGTCTCCCACCCCAACGTCGTCGACCTTAAAGCCTTTTTCTACTCTAATGGTGACAAGGTAAGCCCCCTCTTCTCCCTCCGCCCAAAGCCCAGAACCGCACAGCTTCTCCCTCGCGTGCTCCCACTGACACAGCCGTCCAACCCAAAGAAAGATGAAGTGTACCTCAACCTTGTCCTCGAATACGTCCCCGAGACCGTCTACCGCGCCAGTCGCCACTATGTCAAGCTCAAGCAGCCCATGCCCATGCTCCAAATCAAATTGTATATGTACCAGCTCCTCCGCTCCCTCATGTACATCCACTCCATCGGCATCTGCCACCGTGACATCAAGCCCCAGAACCTCCTTCTCAACCCTGCCACCGGCGTCCTCAAGCTCTGCGACTTTGGCTCCGCCAAGATCCTCGTCGCCGGCGAGCCCAACGTCTCCTACATCTGCTCCCGCTACTACCGCGCCCCCGAGCTCATCTTTGGCGCCACCAACTACACCACCAACATCGGTGCGTTCTCACGCTCCTCTAAAGCTTATAATTTTTACGCCCCTCCTAACTTTCACGCGCGCCTGTCTCACAGACATCTGGTCGACGGGGTGTGTCATGGCAGAGCTCATGCTCGGCCAGCCGCTCTTCCCCGGTGAGAGCGGGATCGACCAGCTGGTGGAGATCATCAAGGTGCTTGGGACGCCGTCGCGCGAGCAGATCAAGACGATGAACCCGAACTACATGGAGCACAAGTTCCCGCAGATCAAGCCGCACCCGTTCTCCAAGGTACTGCCCCCCGTCCGCGGCGCAAGGCTGTTCGCTGAGAGACTGCTGCAGGTGTTCCGGCCGCGCACGGCGCCCGAGGCGATCGACCTTGTGTCAAAGTTGCTCGAATACACGCCCGAGGCGCGGTTGAGCGCGGTCGAGGCGATGTGCCACCCCTTCTTTGACGAGCTCAGGCAGGAGGGCGCCAAGATGCCGAACGGGAAGGAGTTCCCTGCGCTCTTTGACTTCACGCGGGAGGGTATGTTTATTTTTTTCTTCGCGCCTGCGAGCGCCTGTTGCAGATTCACTGACTTGCTCTTTCTCTCTCAACAGAACTGTCCGTACGACCGGACCTGATCTCGCAGCTGGTGCCAGCGCACTGCAAGCCGGAGCTGGCGCGGCGCCAAATCCACCTGGACTCGTTTTCGCCGATACCATTGGAGCAGCTACGGATCTCTCTGGACTGACGAACGAGCGTCTGCGCGCCCCGGACGCAGCCGCGGGCGATGGGACTTGTGTAGTAGTGTTTTCTCGACCGATTTCGATTCCCCGCAGTGTTTGCATGCCCCGCTCGCGGCTCGCGCAGTAGTCGGGCGACCGTCTGCCGCTGCGGCGTCTGTACACGCCCACGACCAGCACCCCACTCCTCTCAGCATGTTCGCCATCGATCCGACCTCCCTCGTACGCACGCCCGTCGCCGACGGGTCCACTGCTCTGGTCGCCGTCTCCCCGCTCTGTCGTCCGCTCGTGACTCGTGTTTTTATGTATCTTGAATCGCAAAGGCTAGGCCACGGCCAAGTGGTGTGCACGGATGTTTGTACGGACACGCGATGTTGTGAAATTGACGGAGATGAAGGCCAAGGCTGCGCTGACGGAGGCGTGTACGGCCTGAACGAGTGTGTAAGGATGTCGCGATAGTCGGGCGCGCGGGGGTAAGAGTGCGAGTACGCCTCCGTGGGTGACTAGTAAGGAGCAAATGTCGCGAGACATAAGAAAACGCAGCCGGGTGCGGGCGCCTTGCATGGCGCGACATGGCGAGAGACGCACGCGACACCCACAACGGGCGCCTCTTCCGTGACTGCTCCGTCCTCTGCTGCTCGTTCTTACTTAACGCCTCCTCCTCCGCCGCCTCCTCCCCGTCCCTCTCCCCCTCCTCGCCGCCGCCGCCCCGCTCGCCGTTCGCCATGTCTGCGCCGCCGCTCTCGGCCAACAGCGCGGCCTACGTCTGCGACACCATCCCCGCCCCCCGCCTCGCCGCCGACAAGTCCTGCTCCCGCTCACCCAGCCCCGGCCCCGACTCTGCACCCCCGGTCTCTGTCACCACCTTCGACCCGCCCCTCCTCGCACCAGAAACGACCCACGAGCAGGCCGCGCAGCTGCCTCCGCTCCAACCGATGGCACCGAGCCCACCACCGCCCGCACCCGCACCCACTGCCACCGATCTCCCCTCGCAGCCTCCCGCGCGCAAGCTCTGCGTCCGACACCAGCGCATGGCCGACGAGGGCACCAACCTCAAGCTCCAGCAGGTATGTCCCCATATCCCCCTTTCCCCTTCCTTATCCGAACGCGAGCGCGCGAGCTCCGCGCAGAGATACGATCCTGGGTGTCGTGCCTCGTTCCGGGTCCGCGCCGAGCCCAGCGACGCTCCCCGCGCCCCTCGCCCCTCGTCTTCTTACACGTAACGCCCGCGCAAACTCTACGTACTGACCGCCCGCCCTCTCCCCCGCGCACAGGCACTCGATGCGCTCCCCGTCGCAGAGCGCGAGGCCGTCTCCGCCATCTGGTCCAGCTTCTCCTCGTCCCCGCACCCCCGGCGCGCGCTCATCCTCCAGGGCCTCCTCACCATGTGCTGCTTCTCCCAGCTCTCCCTCCTTACCGAGCAGCTCGCGCAGCTCATCCGCATCGACCCCTTCGCCATTATCCCGCGCGAGGTCTCTCTCAAGATCCTCGGCTATCTCGATGCCACCTCCCTCTGCCGCGCCGCCCAGGTCTCGCGCCAGTGGAAGAGCCTCGCCGACGACGATATCCTCTGGCGCGGCATTTGCGAGCAGCACATCGGCCAGAAGTGCCTCAAGTGCGGCTGGGGCCTCCCCATCCTCGAGAAGCGCCGCCGCGCCGTCCCCTCACTTGCATCTGCCCCCGCTTCCGCTTCTCCATCGCCCGCGCCAAGTGGTCCCATCGCGAGCTCGTCCAGTCTCAAGCGACTGCACGAACCGGAGCCAGGGCCCCCCGGTGGAGCGAGCCACGCCGCGAAAAGACAGCGATTAGAGGCTCGCGATGAGCGATCACGACCCGCCTCGCCATCTTCCGAGCCCCCGTCTCACACCGTCCCCCCTTCATCATCCTACCCGTCCAACCCTCTGATCGTCCCCCCTTCCGCTGCGCCCGCGACCGCGACCGACCTCAAAACGCGGCCCTGGAAAGACGTCTACTGCGAGCGCCTCACGATCGAGCGCAACTGGCGGCGCGGGCGCTGCACGGTGCGCACCCTCAAGGGGCACACCGACGGCGTCATGTGTCTCCAGTTCTCCGAAACGCTCGCGCACCCGTCCTTCCCGGTGCTCATCACCGGCTCGTACGACCGCACCGCGCGGGTATGGAACCTCGAGACGGGCGCAGCTCTACACTCGCTCGCGGGGCACACGCGCGCGATCCGCGCGCTGCAGTTCGACGCGGCGAAGCTCATCACAGGCAGCATGGACCACACGATGCGCGTCTGGAACTGGCGCACCGGCCAGTGTCTCAAGACGCTCGAGGGCCACACCGACGGCGTCGTCGCGCTTAACTTCGACTCGAACGTCCTCGCGAGCGGCTCCGCGGATCACACCGTCAAGGTGTGGAACTTCCGCACCGGCGAGTGCTTCACGCTCCGCGGCCACTGCGACTGGGTCAACGCCGTCCAGCTCTGGGACTCCACCGGCGCGTCCTACGGCTGCGGCTCGACTGCCCCTGCCCCACGCGCGATCGAGAGCGGCTCGAGCGCACCACACATCGACCCAGGCAAGATGCTCTTCTCGGCGTCCGACGACGGTGCGATCCGTCTCTGGGACCTTTCCCTCCGGACATGCGTGCGCCAGTTCAAGGGCCACGTCGGACAAGTGCAGAGCCTCAAGCTCCTCCTCGTCGACGAGGACCGCGAAGACCCGACGCCCGACGGCGACGCGTCTTCCTCTTCACAACCACCGCGCGACGTGTCCCGCGCACTATCCCCGCCCGCCTCAGGCAGCCACTCTCCATCACACCCCCACCCCAGCACCTCGCCCCTCCTCTCGCGGCGTTCAACCGCGCCCGACCTCATCACACCCGCGTCGCCCGTGAAGCGGCAGAAACCGGTGCTGATCTCCGGCAGCCTCGACAACACGATCAAGGTGTGGGATATCGAGACGGGCAAGGTCCAGCGCACGCTGTTCGGGCACATCGAGGGCGTGTGGGCCGTCGCGAGCGACAAGCTCCGCCTCGTGAGCGGCAGCCATGACCGCACGATCAAGGTACATGCTCCTGCGCGATATCAGTGTATGTGTGTATGCTGACACGGTGCTCTCCAGGTGTGGTCGCGCGAGGAGGGCAACTGTACAGCGACGCTCGTCGGGCACCGGGGTGCGGTGACGTGCCTCGCGCTCGGCGAGGACAAGATCGTATCCGGGAGCGACGACGGGGACGTGCGCGTCTGGAGTTTCAGCGTATAGTGTTATAGCTCCCCGATTTTTTCCGTGTAGAGCTGCGAGTTGCTGGGAAGTCCGTTGGGAAGTTTGGGAGAGCGGGCAGCTCTGTTGTGTGTAAATTACCATCACCCTTTAGCGTAGTACCCTCTGCATAGTGCCTGCTGCTGCATTTGACCGTTCCTGCTCGTTGTGTATTCTCCCGTTTCTATTCTCTTGGTATTGCTCTTGATACGCTGCTGAGCCGACTGTAGAGTTACTGTTACTTTATTCCCAATAGAAGGATCTGGATAATGGAACATGAAAGTCGGTAGATTGCGTCCATATACGCATAGGAGCGCCGACTGGTTAGGGTGGCGTGGCCGAGTTGGTCTAAGGCGTCGGATTTAAGCTATTCTTGATTCCCGATGGGAGCTATCCCGCGCGAGTTCGAACCTCGCCGCCACCATTTTTCTCCGCATTTTGAACATCACCCACCACAGTTGACCAGTCCCAACTGCAAGGCGTCCGTTGTACCGCAAACCACAATATCACCCACGCAAACCCGGTTGCATATGCGAAGCAAAACTATATTACAAAATAAGACGCCTCCAGCCAGCCCGGAATGCCTTGAAACTCCCGCTCCGAATACTTTCATATTGGGTATCCTTTGGCAAAACCACTTCAAGGCCCAAACAACTGTTCCCCACCGTAGGTCAGTGTCGTTGCCATCGAACGACAGAAGGGCAGATACGTACGCCAGAAATGCTGTCCTTGCCTCCGGGCCTCTCACGCACGCTACAACGCGCCAGAATGATGCTTCAGTAAATGAACGATGAGGCGCTTAAGCCCTATGACGTACCGACGGGTGGGCTTGAAGCCGCCGTCCTCGGGGGCGTCCCAAAGGCCTGCAACGGTATCCGTCCTCTTGTTCCTATAGCAAGGCGGTTGAATGAGACCACTGCATAGGAGAACACATTGCCGCGGATAGACGTACCTAAGAGCGCTCTCTTCCTCTACGCTCTCTTGTACCTGTGAAGCGCGATCGGGTTAAATTCCTCGGGTCGCCACTGTCAAATAAACGCAGAGATGGCTCACGGCAACAGCGGGCTTGGGTGGTGCCCCAGCAAGAGCGTCATCATCAATGTTGTCGCCAAAGATGTTGTGCTGGCGGCCGCCAGGAGGGTCCCTAACGCGGCGGGTAGGCTTGAAGTCGTCCGCGACCGAAGACTCTACAAGTCTTGTTTAATCGCGGTACACATGGAAAGCGCACGTTGGCAGACGTACCGGAAGGTGCAACAGCAGCAGCCTCGGAAGACTGACCAGCGGCCTCTGAAGCTTCGCTGCTTGCCTCAGCCGCAGAGAGCTTGCCGAACTTGGCGTAGCCTATGCAGTCCGCCATGCGCTGAGCAACACGAACAACAAAGAGGACGCGTCGTATACGCACGAGGGAGCTTCTGTATGTTAGTGAAGTTGGGATCGACGGTCACGCCGGCGTATCTGCAAACGCGGGGAAGCCACCTATTAGTGGCATATTTGTGTGCGGATACAACGCGACTCGCTTGAGAAATTCAAGAAGAGAACGCTTGGTAAAGACAATACCCGTCCTATCCCAGTCCAGCATTCCTAAAACAGCACGGTCAGGACGGTAGCGAGATGAATGAAGCGAGGGACGAACCGAGGTTCGCGGGCCAGTCGCGCTCCTTGGTGGGGTCAATGATATCGGAAGGAGTGAAGCTGCATAATGCATCAACACCCAGCGCAGCATAGCTCGTACAGGCTGCGCTCACGTAGAAGTCATGGTGAGAGATATACAGACGAGCGAGCGGAGTGGCAGAAGACGAGACGGTGCAAGAGGTCAACTTGGGCTGAACGCATCCGAGCCGCAGACGCGCCGACCAAGACACCCGCGGTAACGCGTTACGTAAGCAGCATTGCCATATGGGGTAACCCGCGGGTCCTCGTCCTCGCCGTCCCGCACAGCGAGCTCGCTCTCTCAGCCGACCTACTCCTCCCTCCGCCTATTGTATTTGGTGCACTAATCTCCCGCCTGATATTCATGCTCGCCGTTGCTCTGTCGACGCCTTTGCGACCTGCACTCGTCTCTGCCCTCCGCGCGCACTCCACCAACGCCCGGCTGCTTCCCTCTACTGCCTACGTCGACCCCGCGCACGCGAACGACGCCTCAGTACTTACCACGCCAGAAACAGTCTCGGCGGATGCAAGAGAAGAGCTAGAGAGCGCTCTCCGGGTGGATCAAGCAGGCGAACTCGCCGCAAACTGGATTTACAAGGGGCAGCATGATGTCCTCGGCCGCGACCCAACGACAGGGCCGCTCATTCAGGCGAGAACTGGCGTTGTATCGTCCTACTGACGCCTGTTCAACGTGCTCTCGTAGGACATGTGGGACCAGGAAAAGAAGCATCTCGCCGTGATGAACAAGCTGCAGCTGCAGCACCGAGTGCGCCCGACGCTCCTGTGGGAACTGGCACGCCTTGGGGGATACGGCCTCGGCGCTGCCACCGCCCTCATGGGCAGGGAGGCGGCCATGGCATGTACGGAAGCCGTGGAAACGGTTATTGGCGAGCATTATGACGAGTGCGTTCTCACCGACGCAGCTCCAACGTTGTACGCTGACCGGCTTCGATAGCCAGCTGAAGGCGTTCGAACAGTTGCCCGCCGACCATCCGAGCGTGCCGTTATTGAAGCAGGTCATTAAAGAGTTCAGGGACGACGAGCTTGAGCATCTAGACATTGCCGTGGAGAACGACTCGCAGAAAGCACCCGCGCATGCGCTCTTGAGCACGGTAGTTGGAGCAGGGTGCAAGGTCGCGATCGAGTTGTGCAAGAGGTTTTGAAGCGTGCGTTTGTGTGGAGTTGTAGGATGTCTGGATACAATATATCGTAGTAGTACTCGCACGGACGAACGAATACATCCACTGCTCAGTCCGACTCCTCGACTGCAGGGGCAGGCGGATTGCGTGCCAGGGGCACGCCCTTGCGCTTGCCCGTCCAGTCGTACTTGAGCTGCGTAAATGCAAATTGGAGGAGGTTGTTCGGAAGAGATAGGAACGAGGCGTACGTCTTGGTTGTAGGCGATGGCAAACACGGCGGCGGGGAAGACGACCATGCCAAGGATGGACTGTCTTGCTGTCCGCGCGTTGAAGCGGAAGTGCTTGTAGACCGCCTCGCGCTGCGTGCACGCCGTCCGTCAGCGTTGCAGGTCGTCCGGCGGTGGAAGGACGTTGCGGACGTACCATCGTGTTCCATCGCTCGACGGCGGGGTCGGTCTGTGACAACGCCAGTGTTTAGTCCACATCGTACATTCGACCGGTGCTGTATGCTACCTTTGTGTATCCTGGAACAAGACGTCTTTTGTGAGCAGAAAGCACGAAAGGGCGGGGGGCGGGGCGCACCGTGTCCGGCCATGGTGGAAGGCAGTCTCAGAGTCGTTGGCCACACAAGCGCCCATCTCTCTTCCGCTCTCCACCACCATCTCCCTCTCCCCGCCTCGGCTATCTCTCCTCCCCCCTCTCGTTCTTGCTTCCCACCATGGCCTACAACAGAGAATGGGACCAGGGCAAGCAGGCCGACTACGAGTCCTGGCAGCCCGCTCCCAGGGGCAACACCCACACACGCGACGAGGACCACTACGGCGACAACAAGCGCAGAAAGTTCAACGACGGAGTGCGCACTGCGCTGCAATAAGTCTCTCAGTAGATCTTACAGGAACATGCAGGGTTACGACGCTTCTCAAGGCTACGACAACGCCGGCTACGACGCCCGCCAGTCCTACGACCAAGGCTACTACCAGGACGACCGCCATCCAAGAGGCGGCGCTCCCCACATGAACAAGAAACGCCTCGTCCCCAGCGAACCCAGCCCGCACGTCATCTTCCTCGGCCTTGACCCCGACTTTACAGAGTCGGATGTGCGTCCCCGCCGCTAACAAGTTCCTCCTAGCTACATTCTGACGCCGCCCGACCACTAGATGCAGGCGTACCTTACCAGCAACAACTGCAGCATTGAGTCGGTCACCATAATCCGAGACAGAACTACAGGCACTTGCCCCTTCGTACTTCCTATGCATGCAACAGCGCATTGACGTCTTCTTTCTTCCGCGCCGCCCCCGCCCCTTGCCCGACCTCCCCCGCCCAACAGGTGTCTCGAAAGGCTTCGGCTTCGCCCAATTCACAAGCACAGAGCACGCCCGCGCGTTCGTGGACCCGCTCTTCCCCTTCATCCAGATCCCGCCCCCGGCCTCGCACGGCGCCTCTGCGACCACCGCCTTCTGGCGCGCGCTCGAGGCAGGCAACCCCGTCCCTCCGGGCGGTCGCCGTGTCAAGATTGACTACTCCCAGAGCGCTGCGCCGGGCGAACGGCGGGCCAAGGGTCCGTTCCAGACGAATGACGGCACACGCGACATTGGGAACACCCAAGCGCCAGTGCTACTCTTTCGTGGGCTTGATCCGCTGTCTGGTCCGCAGGCTATTGCGCAGGCCATGAAGACGTCGGCGGGACTGGGGAAGGAAGGTGCCAAGGGTATGCGGCGGATCATCCTGATCAAGGATAAGAACACCACCGCAAGCTGGGGCTTTGCGTTTGTGGAATTCGTTGATATCCAGGTGAGCAACGTTCGGTACAGTTACCCCGAGCACTGTTGACAGCGGGGCGCAGTCTGCTTCAGCAGTACTTGCATCGACGATGTCACCTCAGCTGCATCCCAACGGCTTCCGTATCTCCGACCGTCCAGTAGCAGCGTCTTTTGCGCATCCATATTCTTTCCAGCCGCTCCCAGACTACTCATTGCGAGACGATGCATCCCTCGCCTCCTCAGCCAGTCTGGGCGGTGCGGAAGGCATGTGGGTAAGATACTGGGATGAGGGTTCTACGGCTGCTGTGCTCGAGTTCAAGGTGGAAGAGCCGACGCAGGCTACCGAAGCCGCACCTGCAGTGAAGGAGAAGAAAGAAAAGAAGAAGAAAGGTCAACCAAGCAGCGTGTGCTTCTCTATACCGTGCCTCATCATTCCACAGATCCAAATGCACAAGGGGTAAAAGTCGAGCCATCGGCGCTACCCGTCTCAGACAAGCCTGTCACCCTCAACTTCAAGGGTGGATTCTCCATGGCGAAGCCCGGACAAGCAGGTCCTTCTGGTGCTGCCAAGAAGCCGGTGCCCATCTCCGCCGCATTCTCGATGGACGATGGCGCTGAGGGCGAGGGCGATGCTGCGGCGAATGAGACGACCACCACCGAAGATCCGAAGGGTTTGTCTCGCTGCTGGGAGACAGTTGCGCGTGCGGGTTGGCTGACGGGTCCTGGCTACTGTAGTTGCCGCTGCTAAGCGAGTCGCACCCCTCATTGCGAGCAAGAAGGTCAATCAACTCCTTCTCTCAACGTGTGCGCCCACTGACGATCATACAGACCGCAAACAACATCACAAAGTGGAATCAAGTCCAGGATGTCTTGCA